AGACTTCTGCACACTATTAATCTGAGAAGAGAGAGACATAGTAGAATCAAAGATAAAACCTAGACTGCGAAACTTATGAGAGACGTCAAGAGTTTTAGAATCAGGTAAGATAATAGGAGGAATAGTAATTGAGTGTTTAGATTTATTAAAACAAATTAATTCAAACTTAGAAGGATTAAGTTTAAGACACATAGAATCAGACCAAGCGATAATCGAAGAAAGACATAGAGATAAATTATGAAGAACACTATTGAGATTAGATGGAGGAAAAGAAGTATAAATATAAGAATCATCAGCATATAGTTGACTAGAGAAAGAAAAGTTATTAATAATACGAGGTAGTTCAGAAGTATAGAGTATAAATAGAAGAGGGCCAAGGATAGAACCCTGAGGTACCCCGAAAGTAAGAGTAGAGGAGTTAGAAGTAGAATTATTGAGAACAACAGAAGAAAAACGATTACAGAGATAAGAAGAAAACCAAGATAGACAAGAATCAGTAATATTAAAAGAAAGATGCAGCAGTCTCAAGAGAATAGTATGGTCAACAGTATCAAAAGCTGAAGAAAAGTCAAGAGCAAGAAGAAGAGTAAGATTACTATTGTCACTAGAGAGAAGGATATCATGCCTGTCTGTCCGTATAAGTAAAAATTAAATTGGATTCTCAGACTAGAATGCTTAACATAGGCCAACAAATTTTAACGTATTCATGTAAATATTTTGCATGTTACTAAGTCTACAAAAATACATTTGTTAGTTGATTTTTTATTATTATAAAATAATTACACAAATGTACAACTTTTAAAACAGCTTCCAGCTTTTCATTTTCTCGCTCTTTTTCGAGTTTTGCCATTTCTTTCTTGTGTTTATCTTCAGCCACAACTTTTTCATATTCCCAATACTGTTTTTGAAAGATATTGAATGATCATCATCAAGTATGCTTTCACGGAGTTACTTATTTTCCAGCGATTGACAAATGCGTAATACCATTTGCGTCTATTTGTATTTTTATCTATGTTGTATTTATGTTGCGTCTATGTTGTAATCCTGTTATGTATTTACGTTGCAAACATTCGCGTTTGTAAATATACGTATGAAAGAATTTCATCCTGTTGTGATGCAAAGCTAAAACATTTCAACTTTACAAAAAAGGGTACATTTTTGTAGCAAATTGAATGTTTTAATTTAGCTTACTCGAAAAAATTTAACTAAAAAACAGACCGTATGTCTCAAATTGTTAAACTTGACCATGTCGTCTTTTCTAAGAGTTTTCAATTCATTTAACTTTAATGTTTTTTTAGCCAAATCATTTCCGTACTTTTCTTTCCAGCTTTTCAGTAAATCTTCGCATTTCTGTAATATTATATAAACATTTTGGCACTAAACATTTTGGCACAATGTTTGGTTTCAATGTTGAAAATTAAATATAATTACTCGTATGCATGATCTGAGAAACGATTCCATTTCAGTGTTGACACGACATTCGTCTTCAAGTTTGATTTTCCAGTCCTGCGTGTGTTGTGTGTGCATAAACAAATAAATAATAATTTGAGAAAAATATAGATTTCTGTGTAGCGCCATACGTATCATTGCTTCTGAGGCGTCCAGAGCCGAAGTGTGCATTTTGACATTTTTGGGGATCGACATTGTCTCATTTTGGGTGATAGCTTATTCGAGGCACGGCACAGAAAGGTTTAGAAATTTTTCTGAAAATCTACAAAGTGGTATGATATGTTTTAGAGATATAACGTTATCTAGGTACTAAATTAATATAATTTTGTAGTTTAGAACCGCAATTTTAACAACAAAAAAATATTGGAGGCAAGTGCTGCTTTTGAAAAAAATAAAAGAACTGTCGATAAGCCGATTTAATTAATTTCTCGCGATTAAATTAAATTTTAGATTTGTATTCGGAATTTTTTTAAAATTCGGATAAAATTATCACTTCAATTTTTTGTTTGAATTTACAAACTTGTCATCAAACTTGTTGTGTTAGTTTATTGCCGTGAACTGAAGCCGTACTATTATTATGATATTTTATATTTTGCCTGCGACCTTTAAAATCAAAGTTAAAAAATTTATGACAGACATGAGGTCTGTTCAAAATACAGTCACAAAAACTAATGTCAAATTTAACATGCAAAACAAAAGAAATTTAAGAAAAAACAGTGTGGTAATCTTCAATCTGGATGAAAACAATGTAAACTCCTAGACTAATGACAAAGAAACAGCAATGGAGTTACTAAAAACCATTTCGCCAGAACATGATTTATCGAAAGATATAACAAACATTTTCAGATTGGGCAAACGTACCGAACATCCACAAAAACACAGACTTCCGGTATTAAAAGTTGAATTATTGACAACTGTAACAAATTGAAAGACAGTGTGAAATTCAAAAAACAATAATTTCTCATGATTTAATCAAAAAGAATAAAGAGGAATGCAAAAACCTCATAGCAGAAAAAAACCATTGCTGTGAAAGATGACATTAAAAGTTGGGCTTTTGTAATCAAGGGTAAACAAGGTTCCAATGAAAATGACGATTTGTTACTCCAGTTGCTGAATGAATTTTCAAGTAAACCTGGTAGACACTTGTGTTTGACGATTTCAATTTTCCAGTAATGATTCACCTACAAAAATTCAAAATAGATTTTTAGACCTTCTGAACGATAGATTTTTATTGAACAACCAGAACAAGAGGCATTCAACGGCAACACATTCTAGATTTACTAATCATAGATTATAACTTTGTGAAAAATATCAACCAATTTTTCCCGCTGGGAAAAAGTGATCATTTGGTCATCGTCGCAAAATTTTGTGGCTTCAAATTGAATCAAAAACCGGTTAATATGAAATATTGCTTTAATAGTGATGATTACGTAAATTTCAACAGTTGAGAAAAGCTTGAATGTAATCTGCAAAATCAAAAAGGATTCAACAAAAAGGTTTGTTCTTTTTAAAAACACAGAAAGGTATTTCACTTTTAAAATGACCCCTTAGTTGCACAGGTTGCAAACTAAAACACTATTACTGAAGAAGGACATACACGCATGAAAAAAACGAAATGATGTTTTACCGTCAAATATGAGAGGACGTAAGTAAATTAACCAGATTATTGAAGAAAGAGAAGCAGAACAAAATAGCCAGAAACTACAAAATAAACCCAAAATTGTTTTGGAAATATTATAACAATGTTACTCATTCTAGAAATAAAGTCAACCTTTTAATTTATAACAATGATGAGATTGTTGATGACAGGGAAAAAACATGCCGTTTATTTTGAACTGCTGAAGAGGGGTATGCCCAAGCCGTTTTTTTTATTGAATAAATAATGTGAAATGAGTTTGTTAGTTTTGTTTCAAATAGTCAATATCATTTTAAAAATGAAATGCAATAGTTCAATTTGTACAGAATTAGAAATCTACCAAGAATAGCAGCAACCCTATTTGTGAACATTTCAACATTTCATATCATGAAGCTCGGAAGTGATCGTCACAAGATTTGATGATGTTAATGATTTTAATATTTTATTTATCAATTCAAATCAAACAATTGTAAGAAATGAAAATGATACGGAGATCAGAAAAGAAAAGATTTTATGATAGACGATTTCAGAAAAATTTCATTTAAAATAAAGAAATAGACATTAATACAAACAGAAATTTAAAATTAAACTTGCGTAAAGGCTACAAAAAATATTGACAATATAATGGATTGAAACAGCATAAAAACATTGAAACGTAGTCCAGCGAATAAACCAATAAAAATTCGTTATTGACAAAGTATAAATACAGTAGACAAAGAATACAGTTCAATGATATTATGATGATCGTGTCCACATACAAACACGAGCTTATACATGTTTACATATAAACACATTAATGCACATGCACACATATGCGCACATACACACACATTAATACATTCCTAATCCTATAACAACATATATATAACCCACATATATGTATAATAACATAGCATACCTAAATAGTGATATCATGTGTACAGGATAAAAGAAAAGTTTTATAATAATGTTTGAAACAACCCGGTTTGGAGAGAGAAGTGATAGATTGTGGCAGAAGTTTAAACCAAATTTTAAGCGCCATAATAAAAATGCTACCATTTAGAATTTTTAATCTGCTAAAGGGAATAATGTAAGGAATAAAATGCCGGGTGAAGTTAAAACAATCCAAAGGTTTTTTTATTAAAAAATTAGAAAAGTTAGAAGGTAATCGGTTATTCATAAATTTATACATGAAAATTTATACATTAAGAATAAATAATTGAAATATGGTTAGCACGTTTAAAGAGAAAAAGTAATCATCATCAGTGGTCAGTTTGTTTAAGATAATATATAAGTTTGATAAATCTTTTTTGCAACTTAAATAATTTTAAAATATGAGTTTTTGGAGAGTGACCCTAAATAATATTACAATACAAAAGATGAGGGAAAATAAAAGCGTAGTACAATTGTAAAAACGTAGGAATATTAAGCTTATGCCTAATTTTGTAATACAATCCCAGCACAACGGTTGGAAACACAGATGCAGTTGACATCGGCGTTGGAGTTCACCAAGGCTCGATTCTCAGTCCACTGTTATTTATAACTGTGATGGAAGAAATCACAAAACCGCACTGGTGACATTTGGAATCTAGTATATGCTGATGATATCGTTTTAACAGCCACGTCTGAGCAGAATGCAGCACAGATGTTTGAAGATTGGAACACCAGACTCGCCGATCATGGATTCAAAGTCAACATCAGCAAAACCAAAGCAATAAACACTGGTGAACCCATCCAATCCACAGCTACTGGACGATGGCCCTGTTCAGTTTGTAAAGCTGGTGTAGGTAACAATTCAATCAAGTGTCAGCAGTGTAACCAGTGGTGTCACAAACGTTGTTCAAAAATACTTGGTTCTTTATCTAAAGTGTCCAATTTTGTTTGTCCTGCTTGCATCAATCCACAACAACAAATTCAAAATAGCACTGTTTTTGAAGCCATTAAAATGGAGAACGTCACATCGTTTCAATATCTAGGGAATGTTCTGGATTGTACTGGAACAGCTGAAACTGCCGTTCGAGCACGCATACGTGCAGCCTGGAATAAATGTCATCTCCTTGCCTCTATATTGATGCGGCGTGACATCCCACTACCGCTACGATCAAGACTTTATAAATCTGTGATACGTCCGGTGTTGTTATATGGTGCAGAAACATGGCCAATGACAACCAAACTGAAACAACAACTTCAACGAACCGACATGAAAATGCTCCGATGGATGCAACAAATTAGTCTGAAGGACCACATCAAATCTACCGAAATCCTGCGTCGTGCTGGTTTAGATGATATAAAGGACGAATGCCGGCAACACCGTCTGCGGTGGTTTTTTGTTCATGTCAAACAAAGTGGAAACAGTGCCATAACTTCTCTTGCAGATGTTGAAGTACCTGGCACAGGTCCCAAAGGCCGTCCAAAGAAGTCCTGGTCGCAAACAATTGAGCAAGACATGAAAGCTCTAAATTTAAATGAAATGAATACAACTGATCGTCTAATTTGGCGCAAAAAGTTGATGGCAAAAATACAACGTCCTACCTCTGGAAACCGGGTCTCTGGACGCAAAACGAAGATTGATTGATTGATTGTTTTGCTAATTCGAAACGCTAGCGAATCAATATGTTCAGCCCACGACAAATTATCAGAAACAACAAGACCCAATAATTTGGCACTGGTTTTCCTTTCAATCAAATGATTATTAAGGTGTAAATTCAGGGGTCCAAATGTATTTGTGAGGATCTTCGGACCAAAACACATGTAAAAACATTTTTGATAGTTTACCTTTAAACTATTTTGAGAAAACCAGTTGGTAATAAGTTTTAAATTAGTGTTTATGAGATTAGTATCTTGAGTTAGAGACTTTGATGCATAAAAGAAACTAGCATCATCAGCATATAGGATGAGTTTAAATATTGAATTAACACAAGCCAGGTCGTTAATAAATAATATAAACAACAAAGGCCCGAGAATTGACCCTTGTGGGACACCTTTGGGCACTAAAATCTTGCTGGAGTTGACGATAAAGTATTCTGAACAAATTCGAGATTGGCCAATTCAGTGGACCTGCTAGAACGGAAACCAAATTGACATGGAGAGAGAAGCTGTTTAGCTGAAATGTATCGAAGCATACGGATATGCATCAATTTTTCAAGGATTTTAGAAAGTGGAGAAAGCAACGAAATAGGTCTATAGTTAGATACTAAACTTTTGTCATCCTTTTTGTGTATTGGGATAATTCGAGCATTTTTGAAAATAAAAGGAAAAACTCCTTGGTTAAATGAAAGGTTAAATATGTGCAAAAGGGGTTTGGCAATATTACATATACATTTTTTAACAATGTAATTATTGAGCTCGTCATCAGACATAGACCTCGAGCTTTTCATACTGCTAACAACATCTATGATTTCACACTCTTCAATATCATATAAATAAAAAGAATCAGGCTGGCATTGGAATAAAACTGATTTAGCCGAGGAATAAGAATTATCAGCAACATACGACAAACTATCAATAAAATATTTGTTAAATTCATTTGAGATCGAGAAGCTATTAGTGACAGTATTATTGTTGATAGTTAATTGAAGAATTTTAGAAGATTTATTGCTTTTTAATAGTGAATTAATATATTTCCATTTAAATTTGAGATTATTAACTGATAGCTGATTGTTAATGTAAGTACGTTCAGCCTTACGAACAGCGATAACAAGACGATTTCTGTAGGATTTGTACAGATTTATGTTTAGAGGTGTAAGATCATTAACACATTTTTTGAATAATTTGTTTTTGATTCGAGAAGCAAGAAAAATATCTTTAGTGATCCAACTTTTATGCTTATTGTTCTTATTTAGTATTTTAAAAGGGGCATGTTTATTAATAACCGAATTAAAAGATGTATTAAAAAAGGAACAAGCTTCATCAATGTTGTCAGTGCCAATAACGTCATCCCAGTTAGAATTGATTAAGTCAGCATTAATAAGATTAATTGTATATGATGAAAATTTACGACTATAGGAAATGTTTGTAATAAGTAAAACCAAGTAGTTTGATGAAGTATCTGATTGAAAGCATAGATTTTGCAGTGTTCAAGCCACAAAGTGTGGAAAATGTCAACAACTGTTTACGCGTGCTGGCAAAAAATATTTTCGACCTGTGAAGAATAAATAAGTTTATTAAATACCGCTAATGGATATTGTTTGTACCGTCCAGTTAAGTGCGGAACCTATGGACAGTATTAAAGGTATATCATCTGCATAATGAAAAAATGGCATATTTACTAAAAATGTCTCCAAAAGATGATGGAGACCAAAAAAATAGAACCAAACATGTGTTATTCTGGTGTCTGTGATTATAACAGCAGAGGTTTAATTTCCGTTTTATAAATATCTGGAACCTATATATATATATATATATATA